ACTGTGGCCGCCGGGGGGGGGCTGCTTGGGGGGGGATCAGGCAGACTGGAGGGTCCCGAGGGCGGGGTGGGAGAGAGTGACAGAAAAGCCCCCCCCCGCTGGCTATCCGCCTGTGTGTGTTCACTGGGAATGTGAGGAGGGGGCTTCCTCCTCCAGGGTCCCCCTCCCTCCCTGCCTGCCTGACCTTCCCCTCCTTTCCTCCGAGAGGAATTTTGCCCCCCCTTCTCTTTTTTCCTCCTGGACAGCCTGTCATGGAGGAGGAAAAGGGAAGAGAGCCGGCCAGTCGGGGCCTTCTGATACCCGGAGGGAGAGGCAGCTTCCACTTGGACGTGCAGGTGGGGGGGGGCGGCTTAGGCCTTAGCCCCCACCTCACCATGTCCTCTGTGGTCAGAAGCTCTTGAGAAAGCCCTGCCGTACTGGCAGCCCATCCTTCTGAACCCCCCCACTCACCCCCCCCCCAACCACCGCCAGGGCTGGTGCCTGTGGCCCAGATGTCCTTGGCGCAGGGCCCCCCCCCGGGGGGGAGGGCAAGGCAGCCAACAGTGTCTCCCTTTCCACAGATGCAGGGCGGGATTGGGGGGAACCTTGTGCGAGTGGCTGGTGGCTCCAGGCGTGGCTCCCAAAGGCCAAAGCCATCCTCCCTCTCCCGTCTCCATTGGGCTGATAAGCCGGGGCAGTGCCTTTTCCAGAGACTTGAACTGGCCTGTCCCCCCACCCCACCCCATAAACACACAAAACGGGAGGGGAAGGGAGGGCACTTCCTTCCTCTGCCGCTCTCCCTCCCTCGTTTAGCCTCCAAAAGCAGATGTTTTTACCTGAACCTAAAAATGTCAGGTTACCTGGAAGGGCACCCAACTAGGCCAGATACCTGCCTGCCTGCCTAGGTGTTACCTGGGATGCTGTGCTGCTGACCTATAAGAAACACCTCCTAAAACACAAAGCAAAACATCTCTGCAGAAGAACGACATTCCTCAAGGGCTCTTGGGAACCGGTTGTGGGGCACGGCCACGATCCCTAGCGGACGCCCTGGCCCTTGTGCTCCTCTCTGCTGCAGATATTTTTATTTATTTTTTATTTATTGTATTTATACCCCGCCTATCTAGTCATTTCGACCACTCTAGGCGGCTAGATATGCCGGCCCCTCCCGCACGGTATTGTGCAGCCCACGCAAAACAGGTCAACAACACAGTGCCTGGTGGAAGCCTGAAGCCAACTCCCTGTGGGTAAGACTGAAGCGACCGTGGCGTTCAGAGAGAAGGAGCAGCTCCGCGTGGAAAGGCCCAAGCCTCTCCATCTGGTGGGCCTCCAGTCCTTGGCTGCCCCCCCCCGCCCTTCGTTGGGCAAAAAGGGTCCCCGCTCTTTGCTCGTTGGGCTCTGCTGTTTCTTGCACAAAGAAAGGAAGGCCCCAGGAGAGCCGGCAAGCAACCGGGGGGGGGGGGGTTTCCTGCTGCTGCCTGTCCCAAGTAAGCCTTGGAGTCGAGCTAGAAGCCGCGGGACCGGCCGCCCCCTCGGGAGAGCAACCACAGAGTGGCGGCATGCGGCGCGGCTGCAGGAGAGCCAGTGGAGGAGAGAAGCGCCCTGCCGGCTCAGAGGAGAGGACGCAGGAACCCTTACAGCCCCTCCTTGTGGAATCCCTCTCTGACAGAGATCAGCCGGCAGTGGAGGCTGTGGGGAGGACTCCCCCTCTGGATTTGGCGCTTGGAGAGCAGTGCCCCCCCCGTCCCGCCTCTGGTCCCACCGGTTCCTCCCCGAGGGCTGGACAGACGGGGTTCC